AAAAAAAAAAAAAAGAGAGAGATTCTCTTGCCTCAGCCTCCCAGGTAGCTGGGACTACAGGCGCCTGTCACAATGTTTGGCTCTGTTTTGGTTGTAGTTGTCATTGTTGTTTGGCAGGCCCAGGCTGGATTCAAACCTGCCAGCTCTGATGTATGTGGCTGGTGCCCTAGCCTCTTAGCTATAGGTGACAAGTCGAGATTCTACCATTATTAAAGCACCTCCCTGTCACCTGGAATGCCCTTCACCCTCATCTCCACCCGTCTCCAGGAGTCCTCCCCTGGAATCCACCCTCGTCCCTAATCACTGCCAGACTTCTCTCAGAGACCCCTAACATACCTGTGTCACCTCAGGCCACCCCCTTTCCCCTATCTACATTTCTTTCCAACTCTTCCCCTTCCTGGGAACTATGAGAACTAGAAGAATTCAGAGAACAGAGGAGGTGCACACTAGAGCCAGACAAAAATCCAGCTCCCTCAGCCCCAGTCAACACGATCCAACTGTGGTCTTCTCCCGCTCAGGACAATCTGCCCAAGGCCCTAGTTTGAAAATCCCTTCCTCTTATGTCGTTCTTTGTCCTCAACAGAAGGGATGACCTTGCCTTAGGATCCTTAATGGAGAAGGATATTAAGTGAAGACTTAGAAACTAGGCGATGAGAATCTCAGAGCCTCTGTATACTGGAACAACGCCCCCATTCGTTATTATGTTAGAAGGGAACCTCCAAGGATAAGGAGGGATTAGGCCAGCGGGCTATGCCCGACCACGTACCTGCAATCAGACCGATCTCACAATTAGGATCTTCATGGCCACAGGTCATCAAGGTCCCCACTGTGTCATTCACGATTGCAACTATGTCCAGCTCAAACTCCTGAAAGAAAGTAGCTCTACTGTAGGTAGAATGTGCAGACTACAAAGGCTTAGGAGGGGCAGACAAGCCCAGGGTGGGACAAGGCCAGAGTCACAAGGACCTGGGCACAGCATGGCAGAGCCAGGAGGCCTAGGGGAGGCCTAGGGGAGGGCCAGGGGCAGGCAAGAGCCTCAAGACCACATCCTACATTTCTCCTCTTGATGGCTTCCCTGAGCATGTCCACCACGTCCTCCCCTTCACAGTCAGTAGCCTTGAAACCTTTGGTCCACTCTATGAGTGTTCCCTGAAAGAAAGGAGGGGAAATTCATTTGAACAATAGTTTGCTGGGACCACCGCACAACCTCAGCATCTGCCAGGTACAAGACGCTATGGCTAATTTCTGGTCAAGTGCATGTCCTTTTGACTGTGCCCCCACCTCACAGCCCCACCCCTGCGCTCAGAGGCATCACGGAGCACAATGCTCAGACAAGGCCACTGCTGAGCAGAATCACGGCAGCAAGTCATATTTGTATTCTGGCCATGACTGCACAGAACAAAGGCCTGGGATCACAGGGATCCCACTTCTAATTTAGCCAAGGACAGTAGAGGTGTGATCAAAAGAAGGGCTACAAAATGCCAATCAAAGCATGTTCTAGGCCAGATGTGGTGGCTCACAGCTGTAATCCTAAAAGTCTGAGAGGCCAGCTCGGCACCTGTGGCTCAAGTGGCTAAGGCACCAGCCACATACACCTAAGGTGGTGGGTTCAAATCCAGCCTGGGCCCGCCAAACAATGATGGCTGCAACCAAAAAATAGAGCCAGGCGTTGTGGCAGGCGCCTGTGGTCCCAGCTACTTGGGAGGCGGAGGCAGGAGACTCGCTTGAGCCCAGGAGTTGGAGGTTGCTGTGAGCTGTGATGCCACAGCACTCTACCCAGGGGGACAGCTTGAGGCTCTGTCTCAAAAAAAAGAAGTCTGAGAGGCCAAGGCAGGAGGATTGCTTGAGCTCAGGAGTTCAAGACCAGCCTGAACAAGCACAAGATCCCATCTCTGAAAAATAGAAAAACTGCCAGATGTGGTGGCATGCGCCTGTGGTCCCAGCTACTCAGGAGGCTGAGACAGGAGGATCGCTTGAGTCCAGGAGTTCTGGTCTGTAGTGCACTATGCCGATTGGGTGTCCGCACTAAGTTTGGCATCAATATGGTGACCTCCTGGAAGTAGGGGGCCACCAGGTTGCCTAAGGAGGGGTGAACCAGCCCAGATTGGAAACAGAGCAGGTCAAAACTCCCATGCTGATCAGTAGTGGCATTGCACCTGTGTGAATAGCCACTGTACTCCAAGCGTGGGCAACATAGTGAGATCCCATCTTTTAAAAAAAAAAAAATAGAAAAACTAGCTGAACGTAATGGTGCATCCCTGTAATCCCAGCTATTGAGGGAACTGAGGCAAGAGGATTGCTCGAGCCCAAGAGTTTGAGGTTGTGGTGAGCTATGATGCCCCTGCACTCGTGAGACTCTGTCTCAAAAAAACCAAAAAAATGCCCCCCAAAAAGCTTGTTACACAGTGAAAAACTATAGCCATCCTATAATTCCAACAATATGGATCTATCATCTCGTATGTCAATATAGGACGTGCTATACTCATATACTCGTTAAAATTCATGCTGTATGAGAATGTTTACCATCTACTGTTGAGTGAAAACATGTCAAACAAATGCAGATACTGAATTATTCTGTTTTTATTTTTTAAATTACATGCATACACACTTGGATCTGGAAAAGTTCTGGAATAATATGTACACCATAGTGTTGACAGGATGCAAGATTCTGGCTGACATTTAGTTTGTCCTTTTGTTAATTTTTCTAAAATTAACAAATAATTTTTGTTATTTGAAATTTTTGTTATTGTCAGAAAAATCTGACAATTTTTTTTTTTTTTTACACAGAGCCTCAAGCTGTCACCCTAGGTAGAGTGCTGTAGCATCACAGCTCACAGCAACCTCCAACTCCTGGCTCAAGTGATTCTCTTGCCTCAGCCTCCCAGGTAGCTGAGACTACAGCACCCACCACAACACCCGGCTATTTCTTGGTTGCAGTCGTCATTGTTGTTTGGTGGGCCCAGGCTGGATTTTTACCCTCCAGCTCAGGTGTGCGTGGCTGGTGCCTTAGCCACTTGAGCCACAGGCACTGAGCCAACATGTATACTTTTTAATAAAACTGACAAAGTAGTATTTTTAATTTTTAAAAGGAAGCTCAAAGCCCGGCACAGTGGCTTGCACCTATAATCCTAGCATTCTGGGAGGCTGAAGTGGGAGAATCACTTGAGCTCAGGAGTTTGAGACCAGCCTCAGCAAGAAGGAAACTCATCTCTACTAAAAAATAAAAAAATTGGGCAGTGCCTGTGGCTCAGTGTGTAGAGTGTCGGCCCCATATACCGAGGGTGGTGGGTTCAAACCCGGCCCTGGCCAAACTGCAACAAAAAACTAGCCGGGCATTGTGGCAGGTGCCTGTGTCCCAGCTACTTGGGAGGCTGAGGCAAGAGAATCACCTAAGCCCAGGAGTTGGAGGTTGCTGTGAGCTGTGACACCACGGCACTCTACCAAGGGCGATAAAGTAAGACTCTGTCTCTAAAAAAAAAAAAAAAAGGAAAAATTATGCTGGCATGGTGGTGGGCACCTGTAGTCCCAGGTACTCAGGAGACTGAGGCAGAAGAATCACTTGAACTCAAGAGTTTGAGGTTGCCATGAGTTAGGCTGAAACTACAGCACTCTACTCAGGGTGACAGAGTAAGATTCTCTCAAAAAAAGGAAGTCTAAAATTACACTGTTAGCCTGAGGCAGGAGTTAGTGTGGCCCCAGACTCCAGAGCTCAGAAAGCTGGGGCTGGGGTAAGGACAAGCAGAGCTGGGGTGGCTAGGCCAGGAGAGCCCCTGGAACAGAAAATCTAATGGCAGCGACCCCAACCCCATGGCTGGACATCACCTAACCTGAGTCCCACAGCTGGCAAGGCTTAGTTCCCCTCTTTCTCTCTAGCCCTTGGGAAACTGGGATCCCTGGCTCCTATCCTGGTTAATATACTTGTATGTGGAATGTTACAGAGACACCCCCAACTGAAAACCTCTCTCTTCTTTAAAAATGGAATCTTGCTCTGTCGCCCCAGTTAGAGTGCAGTGATGTCAGCCCAGCTCACTACAACCTCAAACTCCGAGACTCAAGTGACCCTTCCATCTCAGCCTCCTGGGTAGCTGGGGCTGCAGGCACCTGCCACCACACCCAGCTAATTTTCTCTATTTTTTGTAAAGACAAGAGTCTCACTCTTGCTCAGGTTGGTCTCAAACTTCTGACCTCAAGTGATCCTCCCACCTCAGCCTCCAAGAATTCTAGGACTACAGGCATGAGTCCCCACGCCCAGCCCTCTCTTTCTTATTAATTGCAATTACACAAAAATAAGATACTTTTGAAGCTTTCTTTTTATTCCTCAGCTATCGGTAGCTTTGCTTCCAGCTGCCCACTGGCCTCCCTTTTTCTTTTAACTGTGTCTCCATGAACCCTTCAGAAATGCTGAGTGACAAAGGCCCGGAGGCCCAGTGTCCTGAGTCAGGAGCCGCAGCTATGTCCTGGTGGCCAGTCAGGACCTCGGACAGCTGCACACAGTCCCCACCCCTTCCTCACAGTGTATTAATTTTTAATGGCAGCAGCAATACAGGAAAGCATTACTGTATAAAACATTAAAATGATACTGATAAGGATAAAGTTGCCTTTCGCATTCTATTCCCCCAATCTGAGAGGTAATCTCTATTAACAGCCTGATATGAATCCTTCCAGACTTTTTTCCCCCCGCTTGCAAGTATTTTTAAGTAAATAAATTCATGTTGTGTGTGAACTACTGCAATTTGTTTCTCATTCAATCATGCATTTTCTAGACCTTTCTTTGTCAGTTAATATGGATCTGTTGGCTCAGCACTTGTAGCACAGTGGTTACAGCGCCGGCAACATGTGCCAAGGCTGGCGGGTTCAAACCCGGCCTAGGCCAGCTAAACAACAATGACAACTGCAACAAAAAATAGCTGGGCATTGTGGCAGGCACTTGTAGCCCCAGCTACTTGGGAGGCTGAGGCAAGAGGATCGCGTAAGCCCAAGAGTTTGAGGTTGCTGTGAGCTGTGACGCCACAGCACTCTACTGAGGGAGACATAGTGAGACTCTGTCTCAAAAAAATAAAAAAGGATCTGTCACATTCTTTCACTGAGCAAAATATTCCTCAAATATAATTGCAGAGAAATAAACAAATCCACAAAACACTCCTATAAAATAAGAATTAATTTAATTTATTTTTTTTTGAGACAGAGTCTCACTATGTCACCCTCGGTAGAATGCCACGGCATCACAGCTCACAGCAACCTCAAACTCTTGGGCTTAAGTGATACTCTTGCCTCAGCCTCCCGAATAGCTGGTAGTATAGGCACCTGCCACAGTGCCTGGCTATGTTTTGCTGCAGTTGTCACTGTTGTTTAGCAGGCCTGGGCCGGGCTCAAACCCACCAGCTTTGGTGTATGTGGCCTGTGCCCTACTCACTGAGCTACAGGTGCTGAGCCTTTCTTTTTCTTTTGAGACAGGGTCTCATTCTATTGCCCTGGGTAACAGTGGGCATCATTATAGCTCAGTGGGTTGCAGTGGCATCATTAGAGCTCACTGCAGCCTCAAACTCCTTGGCTCAGGAGATTGTCCTGCTATGGCTTTCCCAAGTGCTAAGATCACAAGCGAGAGCCACTATGCCTGGCTGATTTTTTTCTTTTTTTTACTTTGGAAAAAGGAGAGCTTTATTTCTCCTAAAGATAAGCAGCCTGTTGGGCAACTGTTCCAACAGGCTGCAGACCAGAGGACTGGCCAGAAGCTAGGCACACACGCTTCCATGATATTTTTCTTTTCTCTTTTTTTTTTTGAGACAGAGCCTCAAGCTGTCATCCTGGGTAGAGTGCTGTGGTGTCATAGCTCATAGCAACCTCCAACTCCTGGGCTCAAGCAATTCTCCTGCCTCTGCCTCCCAAGTAGCTGGGATTATAGGTGCCCACCACAATGCCTGGCTATTTTTTGGTTGCAGCCATCATTGTTGTTTGGTGGAACCTGGCTGAATTCGAACCTGCCAGCTCAGGTGTATGTGGCTGGCGCCTTAGCTATCTGAGCCACAGGTGCCGAGCCGATATTTTTCATTATTAAAGTGGTGTGATAGTGAATGTCCTTGTTTGTTCCTCCCTGGGCATTTATTTGAGAAGCAGACCTGCTTGGGGGCCTCCCAGAGTATTAGGATTATAGGTGGGAGCCACTGCACCAGCCATGGGTGATGTTCTTCAGTGTCAACTCAACTGGCCATGTGATCAAGTCTTTCTGAGGTCCTAATATCAGGAATGAAATGCACATCTTATGTGCCATTGGTAGCCCAATTTTGCCAGACGATAAAAACCTACAACCTCCTGTTTTCTCCGTTTATACGGGCTGCCCAGGAAAAGACAGATACTGCTAATGTCACTGGCCTGAACTGGTCTTTTCCTCTTTCCATCTCTCCATAATGTGGCATGACCTCCTCTTCTAACAGCAGTATTATCCATGAGTCCCTTTATTGCATATTACTCTAAATTCTTTTGTAAACTTCCATCCAAAATATAATAAGAAATAGAAGATAATAAATAGAAAAAAATTAAAAGGTTGAAATTCTCTATCATGTGCCTGTAGCCACCCTGAACGTGAAACCCTCTAGAGAATGAAGAGCGACTCAGAGTCACCCTGAGCTGCCCCAGTTGGAGGAAGGACACCCACTAGGCGGGCTGTGAGCGGGCGGGCGCTTACCTTGTCGATGCTCGTTTGCCTGCAGGGAAATGAAAACGTGAAGCCCAGAGGCAGCTGGACTCCCTTGAGACCCATGTAGTCCAGGAAGTCGGCGATGCACTGTACGATGTGGTCAAACAGCTGTGGGGAAGAGTGGTGTTCACAGCAGCCAGCCACGGATTCAGGTGGCAGGCAGGTTCCTGGGGGGCACAGAACCCTCGCCCAGCACTTACCTCCTCCCCAGTGCCCTGCATGATCTCCAGGGGGATGGCAAAGATCTTGTTGTACATCCGCACTGACCTCCGTCCACTTCTGATCTTCACCAGGAGGACCCGAAAGTTGGTTCCCCCCAGGTCCAGGGCAAGGAACTTCCCTTTCTCTGTGGAGGAGAAAGTGGGGGCTGCATTCCACCAGCAGGGACTCCTGTCAGGCCCCTGGGAGGAAGAGGAGATGCAGACCCAAAGACTGCCCTCCTGGGGCTCCAGACCAGAAGGTCCTGGTGGTCATGCACAGAGTCAGGGCCCTGGCCAGGGCCTTGGCCTGCCTGTAGCCACACTGCTTTCCTTGGCCTTCACTTTTATAGCAGAGGCCCAGGTACCATCTACACCATCTCCAATAAGCTGCCGTGAAAAGAGCCCTGAACTGGAGTCCAGGATCTGGGGTTTCTGAGAAATGCCTTTTGCCTTGAGCAAGAGGAGCCAGGTTCCATCTTTCCTCATCTACAGTAAGGAGGTTGGACCTCTGAAGGCTCTTCTAGCCCTAAGCTCTGACACCCTTCTAGGGTACCCCAGGTGACTGTATCCAGGTGTAAGTTATCTCGCAGAGGACATGTGATATACTTGTACTCAAGGAACCCCCAAGAGTAAGTCTGGGCCAGGCTACTCTGACTGCAAGGGGCTCTGGAAGGTGTTTGCATCCTGTCTGGATGGCCTAGAGCAGTGGTTCTCAACCTTCCTAATGCCATGACACTTTAATACAGTTCCTCATGTTGTAGTGACCCCCAACCATATAATTATTTTCATTGCTACTTCATAACTGTAATTTTGCTACTCTTATGAATCGTAAGGTAAATATCTGATATGTAGGATGTATTTTCATTGTTACAAAGGGGTCGTGACCCACAGGTTGAGAACCACTGGCCCAGAGGAACTGCTCATTAACAGGGATGAAATGATTCTTCCTGCTCCCTCCCCTGGCCTAAATCCCCACACCACCACCTGACACATAAGAAACCACAACAAGTCCGACCTTTATCACACACACTGGCCACCCAAGCACAGTCTCTCACCTCTGACACCTCGAGGGCACTGAGTCTGTTCTACAGAACCTTTCACCCTGCCCTCTGCCTCACTCACTCTAGCACACCAGTCTTTTTGCTGTTCCTTGGACTTCCCACAGCTGTCTCTCGGACCCATCTCTATGACCCCTTATCCCGCTCAGTTTGTCTTCATAGCACCTGTCATGACCTGACATCATACGGCTTTATTTGCCCACCATCTGCCAGCCCGACAGACTGTGAACGCCACTCCTAGACAGCCTGGCATGGAGGAGGTGCTTAATGGAACTCTGAGGAAGGAAGGCAGAAGGATTCAAGAGATAAAATAATGAATAATTGAAGAGTATCTTTTACTGTCCTCAGTTTTTGTTTCCTATGTTGGCTCTGGAAAAGATCTCTGTTGTTAAGAGATCCAGTCCACAGCTGTGCGCCCTGGAGGAGGCCTCTCTGAGCCTCAGTTTTGGCATCCATGAACAGGAACCGTTCCTTCTTTAGTAACATACAAAGTGGCTGAGGGGATGAGATGAAATTAAAGGATCAAAAGCAAATGATAAGGTGTAAAGCATTTGACTAAGGTCATTATTTCTGGAAGAGACTCATGAGCTACAAAGACTTAGTGGCTTCTCTCAGCTGAACACCAAGGACCAGGAGAAGGATCAGGGTTGGAAAAGTCAGAGACAGAAGTGATGAAAGGAGAGAAAATGAGCCAAGCCCAGAAAACAGAGCAGCAGCCGGAAGACAAGCCCAGACAGCCACGAGGGTCTAGAAGGGAGATCCTGGGAACGGTTCTGGGCCTTCCGTCTGTTCACAGCACGGGGTACCCTCATGTTCTCACCTACACACACAAATGCATGCATACACACTCACACACGCACACATGTAACATAACTTAGATTTTTTTTTTCATTAAAAATACCTTGGACTAACCAAGGCCAATGGGTAAAAAGGAGTACTAACCTTCTACCCTACTCTCTACAATCCCTTATGGTCATGAATCCAAGGCTCTAAAAACCAAAAACCTAACTGGCAAGAAGTTTGTCAGGAGCTCTTCAGAGAAGGGGGCTGTGCCCTGCCCACCTGTGCCGTCCGGCATCCCACAGACGTAAGTGGGCAGCATCTTGACGGTGGCCAGTGGGTGGGTCTTCCTCTTCAGCCCATACTCCAGCTCAACCCGCATCTTGCCCTGCACGTCCACAAGCTGCTCTCGGGTCAGCTGGAACAGAGCCAGCACTTCGTCAATCTGCTTCCGCTGGGCCTGCACGCGGGAGGCCACTGCGGTCACCATGGCGGCCCCCTTGGTGCTGCCACTCTCTGACAGGAGGAAGCGGACATCACAGTTTGGGACCAGTTTCCTCACCACCTTGTGCAGGCGCTTTGGGTACCTGAAGGCAGGGGTGGTGGCAAAACATTTAGCAATCACAAAGGTCAGGCTTGGCCAACAGAAACAGGCTCAGGACGGCCATGGACTGGGTCCTGGAGTCCTGCCCAGCCAGAGCCCAGCCTTTATTTGTTGGGTGGAGGAGGGATGATAGGAGGAGATGGCACCGCTGGGCAGTGCAAGGGCACTGTTTAGCAGCATATTTTTCTTTTTCTTTTTTTCTATAGGGTCTCGCTCTGTCACCCAAGCTGGAGTGCAATGTCACCATTATAGCTCACCGTAACCTTGAATTCCTGGGCTCAAGTGACCCTCTTGGCTCAACCTTCTAAGTAGCTAGGACTACAGGTGTATGCCATTACACCTAGCTAATTTTTTTTCTTTTTTTTTTTTTTTTTGAGACAGAGCCTCAAGCTATCCTCCCGGGTAGAGTGCCATGGCTTCACAGCTCACATCAACCTCCAGCTCCTGGGCTCAAGCGAGTCTCCTGCCTCAGCCTCCCAAGTAGCTGGGACTACAGGCGCCCGCCACAACGCCAGGCCATTTTTTGGTTGCAGCTGTCATTGTTGTTTGGTGGGCCTGGGCTGGGGATTTGAACCCGCCACCTTAGGTGTATGTGGCTGGTGCCTTAGCCGCTTGAGCCACAGGTGCCGAGCCCACCTAGCTAATTTTTAAGTTTTTTGTAGAGACTGTGTCATTATGTTACCCAGACTAGTCTTGAACTCCTGGCATCAAGCAATCCCCCTGCCTCAGCCTCCCAGAGCTCTGGGACAGGCTAGACCAGAGCCAGCATGCCTGGCCAGAGTATTTCTTTAAGAGTGATTCCCAAGAGCAAGCCAGCCAGCTAGATGAATGTGGGCCCTGGATTCACCCTTTCTCTTGTAATCTCAGAACCAGTAAGAGGTGGTCAACTCAGTATAAGCAGTACAGTCCAGAGAGGACCGGGGACGCTGCTCTGGGAAGACTCCTGTGTGGGGCGTGGGCCAGTAGGTGCCACTCACTGAGGGTGTATCTTGTAGACAGTTCCGTCCACGCCCACCGTGGTCCGGAGCCTCGCCAGCTTCTTGTTCTCCCGGAGGCGCGTCAGGATTGCTGCCAGGGCCGCTGCGCAGAGATTGGCGGAGCGGAAGGAGACGATGGTGCAGACGTGCTGCACAGCAATGCAGTCGGCCTCGGAGGGCTCCAGGCCCAGATCCACCAGGATTTCTCTTGTGTTGGCGAGGCCTTCTTTGTACCTGGCCAGGGGACAGGAATGAGAGAACAGTTCTTACAGTTCTTTTCCATCCCATGAGTATCTTCCTGAGCGAGCCAGCTCTCTCACCTCCCAGGATTGTGAAAATAAATAGGCTGGCACATAGTGATATAATAACAATATCAACATTGATAACAGCAGCCACCATTTATCAAGCACTCCCTATGTGCCAGGTACTTGTCTAAGGATTTTACATGTATCATTTAATCCTCACAGCAATACTGGGAAAAGTACTGTCATTACTCTAATGTACAGATGAGGGCTGTGAGGCACAGAGAGGGTATGTAATTTGTCCATGATCACACAGCTAGTAAGTGCTAGAGCCAAGATTTGAACTCAAGCACTTAGATCAGAGCATCCACACTTTTTACTCATCCTAGCTATAACACCTTTCACAGAAATTCCATCTCTGACAAGCTCTGTACAAACACAGAGTCCTGGGGTCAGTGCCACTCTGCTGAGCTTAGAATCTAAACTGAGTACAAAGCTCAGGGCAATGCCAGGGTTTCTAAGCCTGAAGAACCCTGAGTTGACTGAGCCAACTACCTTCACCAGTCAGCTAGCTCCCCATTCCAGGGACCTATGCATACAGCCTGGAATCACCAAACCCAAAGCCTGTCCCTGGTGGAAGCAGAGAAGGCTCTGTGATAGCAGGATTCCACACATGAGCTTTAAGGGCTCCAAGGATGCCCTGTATTGTAAGCAAAACTGTGTGCAAGTATGCATTTTCTGGGTAAAGGGTCCAGAATCCAAATAAAGTCCTCAAAAGGATCTGGGACCCTAAATAAAGTTACAAATCACCTCTTTAGGAAGAAGGCAACAAAATACAGGGAGAGGGTGGCCCCCTGACAGCAGAGTCCCTGGTCGATGAAACCAACAAGAATGTTCCATCTCAATCAAGGCAGAAATTGCTAACCCACCTGTAGCCATGCCCAGGTCTGAAATCCTCCTGGCAAAGAAGGAAGATCTGGTCCCTGTTTCTGTTCCCCTACCCCAAGCCTACCACACCTTGGCCACCCATCCAAACCCTCTGCAGGGTCAAGGTGGAAGAGGCCCAGTCGCTGCTTACCTCTCCATGGCAGCCACATGCCGCGTTTCAATCTTTCCTTTAATGTGGAGAGTGGAGGATTTCTCACCACCGAACAGGAGGCCAGCCTTGGCCATCTTCAGCAAGATGATCCTGACGAGCTCCCCCAGGTACAGGCCACTGATCATCTTCTCGAACCTGTGACGTGGTACAAATCAGTGGAAGCAACCCCTTTGGTTACGCAGCATCATTTCCCAAAGAGCAGGAGCCACACTGGAGTGTGGGCAGCACGAGGACTGCACCAGGGATGGGGAGGCCCCAGTCCAGCCCCAATTTGGTGTGCCCTAAAGATGCTGTGCTCTCTGAGCTGCACTCGCCTTGCCCATAAAAGGAGAGGCCTGAGCTAAAGGAGATCTAAGATCCCTCCCAAAAGCAAGGCACTACATTCGAAGAGTTTTTATCTCAAATCACCCCAGCCATGGGGGTACCATTCTTGCCATTCATACATTGGCATATGGAATCTGAACCTCACAGACTTTGGGTACTTCCCCTAGATCACCCAGCCATGGTATGACAAACCCAGTTCCACACTCAGATCTACACACTCAGATCAGTTCCACACTCAGCAACTACATCAAGCTTCTGCTCAAGAGAGAAAGGTGCCGTGTCCGTGGAGACAGGCATGTGGACGAAATATCCCTGAAGTTCCCTGACACCTGCACTCTGAGTGTGCACGCAGCAAACAATTACCACTTGTTCCCTGGGTAAACTGTTCAATGTAAATTTTATTCTCCAAACACAGTAAGACACAAAATCAAAGACAATCTATTTCATAACCAAGTTTATATAGTTCACTATAAAAAGTCTAAGGACATTGAAGAAACAAGCCAATCAAAAGAAATTCAGGTTGAATTTAGGGGATTGGAATTTACTTTCAGTGCAATGGAAATTAATGAAGATGATACAATCTATAAAATGGACAGTATGTCCTTGGGCAGTGACTGCCCTAGATCACCACTGCCCTGGGGGGTGTGCTCACGGCAGGTACTGCCAAAGCATAAATGTGTTTTACAGGTGGGCAGTCCTAGGGTTTGGCTCTTAGGAAGTGCCTAACATTCACCGGTATGTCTTGGCAAAATGGTTGACTGCATGGCTGGGGCTGGGCAAGTGCCCGATAAGCCTGGAATACCTACTGTGCCAGAAAATAAGGAAGCACTTAAAGGGTGATGGAACGTGTTGAAAGACATAGAAGGAAAGGGCTTATTTTGGCCAAATCTGACAAAAAATTAAGCATCTTATTTCTTTTGTTGTTGTTGTTGTTGCTGCAGTTGTCGTTGTTTAGCTGGCCTGGGCTGGGTACGAACCTGCCACCTTCAGTGTATGTGGCTGGCACTATAATCACTGTGCTACAAGCGCTGAGCCAAAGTATCTAATTTCTTTTTTTTTTTTTTTTTGCAGTGTTTGGCCGGGGCTGGGTTTGAACCCACCACCTCCGGCATATGGGGCCGGTGCCCTACTCCTTTGAGCCATAGGTGCCGCCCTAATTTCTTTTTCTTTCTTTTACTTTATCGCCCTTGGTAGAGTGCCAAGACATCACAGCAACCTCCAACTCCTGGGCTTAGGCAATTCTCTTGCCTCAGCTTCCTGAGTAGCTGGGACAACAGGCGCCCGCCAAAATGCCCAGCTATTTTTGTTGTTGTTGCAGTTTGGCCGGGGCCAGGTTTGAACCGACCACCCTCAGTGTATGGGGCCAGCACCCTACCCACTGAGCCGCAGGCACCACCCCAAAGCATCTAATTTCTAATCAAGAAATTAGAACCTACTAAATAAAAAAGAACTCTCGAGTCCATACTAATATAGATGAATGGAGGAGGCGGGCGCAGTGGCTCACGCCTATAATCCCAACACTTTGGGAGGCCAGGGCAGGAGAATCTCCTGAGGCCAGGAATTTAAGACTAGCCTGGGCAATAGCACGACACTCTCTCTACAAAATATGAGAAGTATCAGCTGAACATGGTGGTGTGAGCCTATAGTCTCAACTTCTAGGAAGGCTGATGCAAGAGACTCACAATCACCTGAGCCCAGGAGCTTGAGGCTGCAGCAAGCTATGACTGCACTACTATACTCTAGCCTGGGCAACAGAGCAAGACTGCGTCTCTATAAAATATAATAAATAAATGAATAAATAAATAAATTGAGGAGATAGGAAAGCTCTTCCTTACAGTATGATAACAACTAATTATCACAGTAGGAATGACAGGTTTAGAAATTCACCAGTGGATCGATGGATGCTAAAACTAGTGAGTGAAAGCCTGAAGGAACAGGATATTAACATAGTCTCAAAATATCTCTGCACCAGGTATTTACTCAAAACAAAGGGAAGAAGAATAACCTTCTGCTGGAGAAAACTGTTCGGTATCCCCTTAACCAATGATTCCAAGTAGCATCCCCAGTAATGGAGCCGACAAGTGTCATGTGTTTCCTGATATGATGCCCAGGAAAGGACACGCTTGTGTGTTACATTCCTGCCAAAAATACGTAACTTGAATTTAAGCATGAAGAGACATCAGACAAATGCAGACTGAGGGACATTCTGTAGCAAGCGTGGCCTGTAGGCTTCAACATCATGAAAAACAGAGAGATAGTAAGAAACCGCTCCAGATTAAAGGAGGTTAAGAGACATGGCAGCAAAATGTAACCTGTGATGAGAGTTCCGGTCACGACATTTACTTTCTTTCCATTTTTTATAAAAGACATACTGAGGCAGCTGGTGAATTTTAAATAACATCTGTAAGTTATATGTTAAAAATGGTTAAGTGTTGGCTCGGCACCTGTGGCTCAACTGGCTAAGGCGCCAGCCACGTACACCTAAGGTAGCGGGTTCAAATCCCCAACCCGGACCCACCAAACAACAATGACAGCTGCAACCAAAAAATAGC